AAACACCCATAAAAACTGCAAAAAAAAAATGTTAAGCCGGAAATTTGCATGTATCTCCACATGGACTCAACAAACCTTCGTGCCAAATGTGGTGAAAACCATCAACAGGAGGCTAAGTAGTGGTAAAAACCGCAAAAACGCCCATAAAAATAAAACACAAAACTGAAAATTTGTACGTACCCCCGCATGGACCCAATGAACCTCCATGCCAATTTTGGTGAAGATCCATCCACACTCTGCGAAGTAGTTACATGGATATTACTGCTGCCCTTTCTACCTACTGAGCTGCTTTTGAAGATCAGTCGTCAAAGACTTTTTTCTACAAGTGTTATTTACTGCTCATTCCACTTGTTTGATCATCTTTAATACTCTGCCTGAATCATCTACAAAATAATAGCAATACTTTAGTAGATAATAAGAGCTGCTGTAGTTCACGTGTCGGTACATATTTTATATTGAGTAAGCATATTTTCAAATTATGTTGTATCCTAGTAATTCCACTTATTAACTAATTTACCTTTAATATAAAGCAGTGAAATTCTGTTAGAATGTGCTAGGATAATTATATTACCAGCGTTTGTCAAACGTACGTTATCTGAGGAGAATGTTATTATAGGCCTAACATCAAAATCTTAATTTTCGGTACGATAAATCTTTCTGGCGGATGTTTAATGCACACAGAAGAGATACTTTTGTAGTTTAGTTTCGCTGTTCTGATTTTATGTTAGACAAGGTTTCAGATGTGGGGCATTAAAATTCTTGAATATTTGTCCTACTGTTCTTTCAAGAAGTTTAATTATAACGTGAGGGTTTAACGGTAAGTATATACACGTACGTGTGTGTGTATCACGTGTTAAGGCCAGTACTTTTCAGTGTGTATCTGTAGTAACCCAACAATGAAAAGTTCATACACTTGCGGCCCCGCGCCTGTATATTCTTTTAATCTATTTCTTCCTGTTGATTTTCATACAAACAGAAAAATTTTGCAAGTTGCATTCTTTTCTCGATCCCTACCCGGGTAGCTAGTAGCACGCACGGGCGTGGTTTGTGACCTTCTCGTGTAAAGGCCATTAGAAACAAGTTCAGTTCAGCAGCACAAGGAGTAGTACGTATGTATGTGTGTGTATGTGTATATATGTATATATATATATATATATATATA